CGGAGGAAGCCTGAAACACCGATTGGAGCCAAACCTCCGAATCCGGGTTGCGGCCTCCAAGAGCACCTGCCAGCCGGACCTGCGACCCGGAGGAGTAGGACCGAGTACACTGAAGCCCGCCGCAACTACGCAACGAGCATCAGAGTCCAGAGATACAAGGAAGATAATCTGCGGCGACCCGGGCCTGCGAAACGGACCTTCGGCTGAATCAGCTGAGTTCACGAGGCTCTCTTGCTCATCCATCATGTCCGGAAAGTCGTGATCCATGGCTGCCATGGCCCACAGGGGCTCGAGAGACAAGCTCCGTTCCTATTGTAACGGAAAGAACTTGTACGTTGCTGGCTGCTGTTTCTATGGCTGTGTCCACACTAAGGAAGGATGGCTGCGTTTGCATTCCTCTCAGTCTGCGCATACGAACATGTATTCAGGCAAAGAGAGATGCAGCCCATTGGGAAGCTAGATTCATCGAACAGCTCTTGCCGCAAATGCTGAGCCAAACATAAACGCCGTGCATGCCAAGAGGTTCCGGAGAAGTGCCTCGTGACCTCCACCTATATACCTGACACCTCTCCTACTTGTAGCTCTTACATACGGGCCTTGTCTGCGTCCCATGCTTCGAGGCTTCAGGGCAGGAAAGTGACTGGATCCCTCCTCCCATACGGAACAGCACAAGTGTACTTTTCATTAATCGGAATCCAACGACATCCAGGCACGGCTCTTGGGAGCTACTGTGCCTTCGGGCGTTGCAGACGCATGCCGGGCACCTTTACGTGTCAAAAGCGACGAAAACATATCAACCTAAACCTAAACCCTAAACTTTAAACCCTAAACCCCAAACCCTAAACCCTATGATACTTACACCCGACACCCCCTTCTGAGCACCAGCGGGGCATCGCTCCAGCAATTCACCCTCGGCCCTCGGCTCAAAAATCTCAGAGCTTTCTGCCGATGAGTGCTGGGCTGCAGCCGCTAGGCACAGATTCATTGGCTGCCCGAGGCATATGGGTAGTTCTCTAAGTTGGGGTCCCTTTTCGGGTCCCCCATATAGTACGGCACCCTTATAATATGGACCCTAAAAGGGACCCTAATTGAGAAAACTACCCATATGCTTTTGAGGCCCTGGAAGGACCCTGTTGGAAGATAGTTCGACGCGCCCTCCGAGCAGGGCAAAGTCAGAGTGAGGGGTTTTTGAATGGCGCTTCACCGCTCCAGGCCGGAGCAGCTCCTTCCAGCTCCCGATTCTTTCGACTGCCGCAACTTGCTGATGCTGTTCCCAAGGCAGTGAAGGCCTGCGATACACTTTCCAAGTCTGCAATGCATATGTAAGGTCACCTGACTTCAGAGTCTGCACGGCGAGATATCGAAGAGCGGAATTATGGGACTGATTAGCAGGGCATCGCGAATCGTCGGCTGCACCGCAGTACCCACGACCCTAAATCATTGAAGAGAATGTTGCTGTTGTGGATGCTGATGATCAAGGTGATGGCAGCGAGGATGGTGACGTGACTACCTGGTACTGATCACAACAGCCCCGTGAGTACGAACATAACAACTACAGTTATACGGGCACAGAGCTGCAGGCACATATATATATATAATATAATATATATATATATATATATAATATATATATATAATAATAATATATATATATATATATATATAATATATATATATATATATACAGCTTACATCCCACGATCAACGCACATCAGGAAGCTGAAGAATGAGACGATAGCTCGATCGTCTCATCGCCACCCGCTCTAGCTGTGGGCCTCCGTGGCCTTCGGCCACTTGTGGCGTTGGAAAACGGCTGGCCTCTAGCGGAATCCATCAAGCCGGTAGCTGCCAGGCACTTCGCTGAGATCCAAAATGACTTGTGACGTTGTCACGAACATATAAGGCTTTTCTGGTGGTTACCCTTCCGGTCCTTATAGTGTTAGTGTTGCTAGCGCTGGGCTTCGAATTGGGGGCGCACAGGCTCAACACACATGAAACGTGATCCTAATCCATAGCTAGCCGGCTAGCCCCCCAAGTACAGCTGGGCTTTCTGGGCTTCCATGGTGGCGCATGATTTCATAATTTCTAGCGAACTTGCCCTGGACCCCGAGGAATTGTTCCGGAGTGTTTCTTTCGAAACCTGCTCCGAAGCCCTCAAGATCACTCAAAGGATCCATCCTGGTGGTCCTACGGCCTCTCTTCTGCGGAAACCACCACAGCCCTTGATTCTGATAGCCCCTTGCAGATGAGGCCTTCCCCCGTTCCGTTTTCCGGTTTGAAATGTTCTTGACTCCCCATGCACGTATATGTGATGGCTCTACAGGGAGTGTTCACCTAAAGACTACTTAAGCGCACCCCCTGAATCCCTGAACCACCCTGAAGTCTTAAGGCTCTGTTGTTCGGAAACTCGGCTTTCAGTGACTGGAATGGCATGGAAAGCCTGCCAAACTGCAGATCCGCGAGACCGGGCACAGCGTGGTGCCCAAGTTGCCGGGCCGCGTTGACATGGGGCTCTAGAGCTTTTGGGCTTTGGGTTTTGGGAAATGTGGGTTCGGCATAGTAAACGGTTTGTTCTGGGTCGAGTGGGGCACTTCCAGGCGGTAACCTGCCCTCAGGGTGAGTAGGGCCCAAACAGACACCCTAGATCCTAGGCCTGATAAATCCTGAACCCTCTCTGACGGCAGCTGAACCGTAGTAGGGCCATGGGCCTTGGGCACTAATTCTTTGCGGAACCCAACTTCGGTAGTTGCAGGTGCAGCTGCTTTGGGTGGAGGTGTCTCTTCTGTCGGGGTTTAGGGATGGTTTACGGCTGCGAGTCTATGTAGGGGTTGAGTTCCAGGTCTACAAGACGGATTCAGGCTGGAAGGCCCCAGTGGCGCTTAGAAACATTCCGATTTCTTGTGTCTCTGCTCCACCACTTTGTGAAAGGACTTGCATATGGCTAGTTACGTGAGATGTGTCTCCAGTTGCTAGGCCCGCCACCTGCCACCTCGGCAGAAACTGCGAAAAGCGAAACTAAACTCGGACCGCAGCTCCAAACTCCGACATCAGGGTCGGAATCTCCCGCAGGTAGGCCTGACCTTGCATGGGGCAAGATGACGTTCTGAGCTTCGACGAGACGAGCCCAGAATCCTCGAAGTGTCTCGAAATCTTTGGGGCACCGACAACCCAAACAAGCATCGAAACTCTGAATACGGAGTCAACCTTCAGGACTTTCTTGGGATCGGGCGGGGCAAACCCTGCTCGGAGTTGGGGGGGATGTGTGCCATGTGTGCTGGCAGGCTTTGGGGGCTTTCCATCACTCTGCTACCCGAATTGATGAGGAAGCTGACGTCGCAGAACCACTTGTCTTGCGAGCGAGTTTACCTTCCTCTTTTCGTGCCCGTTCTTCAAGTCTTACACAGACAGCAATAGCAACCCACAAGGCATCATCATAGACTCTCAGGCCACAACGATGACACGAGTACTAGTGGGGCTACGCTGCCGGCTCTAACACCTTGCTACTACTACCACCAATTCGAAAGCAGTATCACTTGCTCACTAAATACAAACTATGACCACCATCGTCATCTCGTCGTCACGATCATCATAATCATCGTCATCACCGAAGCATAATCCGTCGAATGAAGCCTTCATCACTGGCAGAGTTAGAAAATCTTAAAAACTCAACATTACATGGCAGCTTTGCCACTGCCGGCATGTTGTCCATCCATGCTGGTCTTGAGCCGCCGCCTTGGAATTCTTTACATGTCGCACTGGCCCGCAAGCTTTCGCTGAGGAGTAGTTGAGTCAGTACACTGCAGTCATAGATTCGGGTTCCCGGCACGGCATCAACGGAAAAACGAAAGGCATCACCAACCAAACAAGACCACACCTCAAAGCTTAGAAGGGCAAAGCAGCAAACTCATGGCTTTACTTGCCATGCTTGTGTCTTGGTGCAGATGTAGCATCTACCGATCTACGGCTCCAATCCACTCGGCATCGTCTAGCCTAGCGGGTGGTGGCTGGGTCGGTCCAGCTCATGGTCCTATGGCGCTCAGGGACCACTCATGCTAGACTGCCAGAATTCATCCTTCTCTGCAGCAGGAGAAGAGGTCACATGCTCGGAAACAACGTTGCAAGGACGATGGACCTGCAGACCACTGCGTGCTGCGCAAAGTTAGGACCACGAAGCACTGCAGCACATCTCCAGGTAGCTACAGAACTTGCACGCGCAGAACCTACAAAGACACGTACGGAGCAAGGGGTTGACTGCGCAACAGAGTAAGATACAGGAACCTCCACGCAGACCTTCCGAGCGTTCCAAGGCACAAATCCTCCCGCATTGCTTTGATCTCCTTACGGATGATGGCGCTCTCGTAGCCCATCCGTGCCTCGGTCACCAATATTGTCTCCAGCATGAGACTTGCATGAATCCTAGACTAGGCGGGAGCTTACAGCCGTTCCAGGACGAAGACTGTTTGACAAGGTTTTGACACACAAAACAGTGGGCAAAGGAGCCACAAGGAAATAATCGGAAATAACTGTCGGTATACTACAAATGCTTATTGGGCCCTAACTGTCTAACAGTGACCTCACCTGACAGAAACTGGCAAGATAAACTACGACAACCCAAACCCTGCAACCCCCATCGCGAAAACCTACCCCCAAAGCGCCGAAACCTCTAACGCTCAACGCTCCATGCGACGACCTATGAACCCTAAAACCCTCAAACAAGACACTAAACCTCAAAGTTGATCAGCTTAAACCCAAAAGCATCATCCACAACCGCGACCGTGACCCCCAAAGCCCCGGAAAGCCTAAACCCCCAAAACTCCAAAACCCGGAAAGCCCTAAACCCAAAACTCCAAAAGGCCCCGAGAGGCTTGGGTGAAAAGTCCAAGCTACGACTTGGAGGCCCTTCGCCGGGCCGGCAAGGTTCATGCAGCCATACCTTCAAGAAGGGGTGCACTATAGGGGGCCTTAATAATTAGAATAGGGTTTGGGGGTATATTATATATACCTTCAAGGGTGTAGGGTTCAGGGATTTGGGTTTAGGCTTTGGGGTTAGGGTTCAGGGGTTTGAGTCTAGGCTTTAGGGTTAAGAAGGGGTGTAATATACGGGGCCTTAATAATTAGAATAGGGTTTGGGGGTATATTATATTATAAACTAAATAGAAAAAAGGATACTTAGGATGTAATATAGGGCCTTAATAGGTAGAATAGGGTTTGGGCGTATATGATATTATAAATATAACAAGGAACCCCCCAAAACCCTGTTCTAATTACTAAGGCCCCTCCACTATTAGGGTTCAGGGGCTTGGGTTTTCTGTCGCGCTTGGCTGCCTTAAACCTGCGGTATAGGGACAGTTTAGGGATAGTGCCCGAGGAGATTTGTCTTGTCAGGGCTTGAGAAATCTGTGTGCTGCATGCGTGCATCATGTTTCTTTTCTTCCTCCTGATTTAAACTCTGTGTATGCCATGGGGGCTTGACTCTGGGCAATCGTTCCTGAAAGCGGCACCAGCAAGAGCTGGAAGTCTCGACACGGACTCGGTAACCGGTTAATAATAAAAAGGCAGCATGCAAATTGCGTGCTGAGGACACAAACTCGTCGAGTGTGATGTCACCACTGCCGTCTGCGTCGATGCACCTCGGTTCGACACGCACCATCGCTGATGCAAATGAATGATACTGGATCCTAGACCTGCGCCAACTGATTATCTGTTCCTTTCGTTGTGGTATCTGGCGAGAGGCTCATGGTGCGCAACAAGCTTGAGCATCCAATGCATGCTAGCCAGTTTTTGGAGAACGATCGGTTCCGGTGCAGTCGCAAAAGTTGGAGCGATGAAGGGTCTGTTTGCGTGCACGAACAAGTCCCAGCACTGCATGTCCTGCCAGGCCACATGAACAGGGTGACGATGTCATCCGTGGCTATCTCCATCCTCGGCAGCTTGATGGCTTCAGGTCTTTAAAAAATGATGCTTCTGCACGTTTAAATAATGATGCTTCTGCATCGCTCCCCGCTCTCACAAGGTGAGCAAGCTCTCTGCTTGTGTCCAGGCCACACATGAAAGCTTGCCACCTAAACGACTCATTAAGCCGAGCGGCGCATGCATGAAGCTTCGAAGTTTCTGCCGTTGCATGGCTTCCTGGCGGACCAGAATGCCACAGGTACTCGCGAAGGTACACGTCAACTATGCACCGCGGAAAAGCTTGGGCTCTTTTGCCGTGGTGGCGAAAATGGCAACCCAAGCAGGAATTGCGGAATTGCCTGGAGAGCCCGAAACCCGCACGTGACCTCCTTCAGCCTGCAAGCTGGCAGCCAAAGCCCTAGTTGCCCCAAAAGCCTAAACCTCTTAGGGTTTAGGGTTTAGGGGTTTAGGGGTTTAGGGTTTATGAGGATTCCTTTAGGCACCACAAGAAGCTCGAAGAGTTAAAGCTTCAGCCACCTTTCGCCAACAATCCCTAGACCTTAAACCCTAAAGCCCTAAACCCTAAAGCCCTAAACCCTAAAGCGCTAAACCCAAATCCTAAACCCCCAAAATCCTAAACCCTAAAGCCCCTCATCCCCTAACCGGCTCTCCTTTAGATCGTCGAGGCCGATGACTTCCTGACCCTCCTGCAGCCAGGAGCTCCCATGAGGGCTTTATTAGTAGCTTAGGGTTCAGGGTTTAGGGCTCTATATACATCTTATTAGTAGCATAGGGTTCAGGGTTTAGGGCTCTATACCATTGTATTAGTGGCTTAGGGCTCAGGGTTTAGGGCTCTATACCATCT